CCCAAAGTTGCTCAACACAAAGAAACATTCACCACTGGAAAACAAGTCTTTTGCATAAATGTTAGGTCATTTTTCTAAAAAAAAAAAAAAAGTGATATGTATAATTTTCAAAAGATATTTTTCTTTTTGAGGTTCCAATTATTTCATTTTTCAATATATACCTCTGTGGTTTACACATCATACTTACATTAGAGTTACTATTGGTGCTTAAATTGTATTGCTTTCAGTGGCTTTAGATTTTTTATTTTAACTGAAATTGATGTGATTTTTTTTAATATTCTGGTTTGTTTGAAAAGGTATTCTGTTTTATAGGAAATTAATTTCTTTTTGTGTGAAATCAAGCTCAATTTTGCCATTGCAAAACTTGTTCAACTGTTGATTCTGCAATGTGTGACACCTGAAAAAAAAAAAATCTATTTTAATACAGAGGGGGGGAAAGGTTATAATTGTAGGGACAGCCAGAAGCAGTGGTACATGCTTGTAACCCCAGGAGCTTGGGAGGCTAAGGCAGGAGGATAACAAAGTACAAATCCAGCCTCAGCAACTTAGCAGGGCCCTAAGTAACTTAGCGAGGTCCTTCTCTATATAAAAAACAAAAAATGCCTGGAGATGTGGCTCAGTGGTTAAGTACCCTTGACTTCAATCCCTAATACCAAAATAAATAAATAAATAAATAAAATTGTTGGGATGAACTGAGCAGAAGGTTTTAAGTATACCCTGAACTACTTTGCTATAGCAACTAGCTCAAAACTATGAGCTTACACTTTATGTGGGAAACTAATTTGGTACTTGAAGTCCACCTTGGCTTTACAGTAAACATACTATTAAAAGAAAGATTATCTATACCTCATATTACCAAAATAATAGGAGCAGCTTTAATCCACAAAATTTATCTTCAAAATACTGTTTTCTCATACACACTACTTTCCTTAAACTACTCATCTTGTACCTCAACTCCATTAAACAGGATCCCCTTCTTAGTGCCTACTGCAGACCATGTTTCCAGGTTCAGCTACTCCATTTCAAATTGTCAGATGCAAATTTGACATTTTTCAGGTATTTTTGTCTCTCAATTATAAACTCAAAATATTCTTGCTGCTTTGTTGAAGTTTTGCCCTACACTATTCTAAAATCTAACAGGTATCTAAGAACATGCCTTCTATTTGTGCTTCTTTGTTTGAAACCCAAGGCTCTACACATAACAGGCAAGCACTCTTTGCCACACAGCTATATCCCCAATGTTTATGCATTTAACAGTTATTGAGCATCAACCATAATATATACTTTTCAAGATTGGTATTAGTACTATAGCATTAAAAGCTCCAATATACTGATCTGAGGAAGTAAATCAACAATTATAATTCAGCCCAATGTGATAAATACTTCACCGGAAGTTGAATTCAAGATGCTAATCAAACTTGTATTTTATTCTACACAGAAAGGAGCACAACATGAAAACCAATGAAGAAGCTATCTCACACAAACTACCCAGAATAGGGCCTGAGTAGACCATAATTTAGAGACCATATGAGCTAAATATAAATTATACCCGAAAACCAAAGAAACACATAAGAAGAGTAGACCTTGAAAAAGCCAAAATATTTCAGCATTCCACTGATAATAAAAGAGTAACTATAACCCAGAATCCTCTAGACATTTGACTTTGAGAATCTTTCCATCATAAAAGCAAGTCCTAGAGGCAGAAGAGTTTCAAGTAGAAATAAAGGAAAATCAAAAAGAAATTCAGAGACTAGGGTAGATTTACTATCCATTTCTTTAGTGCTGGTTAGAATTCAAGCAAAAGTGACAAGAAATTGGAAGGAACCTTACACATATCAGAAACAATTTCTCTTATTCTCAGATAAACTTAAGACCAGCTATGTAAACCCACAGAGTTAAAAATAAAGAGGGTATGACTGTCTTAAAATTTGATGTAGATAACAATCAGCTGGGAAGTTCATTAAAAATGCAGTTGTCGGGATGGGGATGTGGCTCAAGTGGCAGCACCCTTGCCTGGCATGCATGCGGCTCAGGTTCGATCCTTAGCACCACATACAAACAAAGATGTTGTGTCCGCCGAAAACTAAAAAATAAATATTTTAAAAAAACTCACTCTCTCTCTCTCATCTCTCTCTCTCTCTTTAAAAAAAAAAATGCAGTTGTCTTGGGACTAGGGTTGTGGCTCAGCGGTAGAGCACTTGCCTAGCACATGTGAGACCCTGGGTTCAATCCTCACCACCACATATAAACAAACAAACAAACAAACAAATAAATAAAAGGTAATGTGTCCAACTATAACTAAAAAATAAATATTAAAAAAATGTGGGCTCAGGTTATGGCTCAGCGGTAGAGAGCTCGCCTAGCACGTGTGAGGCCCTGAGTTCAATCCTCAGCACCATATAAAAATAAATAAGTGAAATAAAGACATTGTGCCCAACTACAACTAAAAAATCTAAAATTTTTTTTAAAAATGCAGTTGCCTAAGGGGCTGGGGTTGTGGCTCAGAGGTAGAGAGCTCACCTAGCATGCGTGAGGCACTAGGTTTCATCCTCAGCACCACATAAAAATAAAATAAAGACATCGTGTCCTCCTATAACTAAAAAATAAATATTTTTTTAAAAAATTCAGTTGCCTAAGTTATAATCTCAAAGGGAGGAGTCCAAAGGTGTAGCTCAGAAACCTCAGACAGATCAAAAAATCAATATTTTTAACATAGAAGACATTTCAATATTACACATGCTCTCATTCCCTCCCCTTCCCTATATCAAAGCATGCAGACAAAACAGAGTCCTCAGAGACAAAAAGTTGGCCACTATTTATGGGACAATAAATGCATTATTAAAAAAAAAAAAAAACTAGGACAAGTATTCTCTTCTAGAACTCTCTTCACTTGGCTTGCTCTATTAGATTGCTCTCCTCCACATTCTGTACACTTTTTTTGTGTTTTAATTTTTTGGTTGTAGTTGAACACAATACCTTTATTTTATTTATTTTTATGTGGTGCTGAGGAACTAAGTGCTTCACACTTGCTAGGCGAGCGTTCTATAGCTGAGCCACAACCCCAGCCCCCTCTATACACTTCTCAATGATTCATTTTCACTTAGGAGAAGGTTACTTCTTTCTCTTAGAATGAAGCAAGCCAGGTGTGGTGGCACATGCCTGCAATCCCAGCAACTTGGAAGGCTGAGGCAGTAGAATCACAAGTTCAAAGTCAACCTCAGCAATTAGCATAGCCCTAAGCTATTTAGCGAGATCCTGTCTCAAAATAAAAAATAAAAAGGACTGGGGATGTGGCTGGCTCAGGGTTTAATGCCCCTGGGTTCAATCTCTGGTACCAAATAATAAAAATGATAATGATGATGATAATAAATTTTTAAAAAGGAAGAAAGAAAAGAATGAAGCATCACTGGGCATTGGGGTGCACACTAGTAGTCCCAGTTACTCAGGAGGTTGAGGCAGGAGGATCAAAAGCTGGAGGCCAGCCTGGGCAACTTAATGAGATCCTGTCTCAAAGAAAAATAAAAAGGGCTGGGGACATAGTTCAGTGATAAAGCACCAGTATCACAAATCCCCAATACCACACACAAAAAGAAGGATGAAACAACTCTAATCATGAAAGGTGAAGTACACACTAAAGTAGAAATCAGAAGAAAAGAGGCCTGGAAAAGTCTACTTATGACCACTTTAAAAATTTATAAGCAAGAGAAACCCTGGAACCCTCCAGAGAAAAGCATGTTACTCCTTGGGGGAAAGAATAAGCAATAAATATGGTACATTTGGAGGAGCAAAAGACAGACCAAAAGAGAAGCCTTCTATAAAACACTATTCACGGTATATTTTCTGGAGAGCATGTGTTATGGTTTGAAAATGCAGTGTCCCTCAAAATTACTTGTTAAATGCAAGGGGGTGAAATGATTAGATAATGAAAGCTATGACCTGATCAGTGGATTTATCCATTTGATGGATTATTAATTTGAATGGATTACTGGGTGGTAGCTATGAACAGGTGGTAGGTCACTAAAGGCCTTGGGGATTATATATTTTGTCACTGGCTCCTCCTACTCTGATTCCTGGTTACCATCAGGTAAGTAGCTTTGTTCTACCGTGTCCTTTTGGCATGTTGCATCACCTCACCTCAGGCCCAGAGCAATAAAGTTGGCTGAACCTCAATGAACTCAACCTCTGAAACTATGAGGTCAAAATAACTTTTCCTCCTCTAAGTTCTCCTTGTGAGGTATTTTAGTCACAGTGATGAAAACCTGACTAACCCAGCATTATGGTTGAGAACATACCTGAAATAGTTTCTTAAGCCCTATCATGTGATCATACAATAAAATTTCAAATCATATACCTTTAATTTCCTTACAATTACCAAAGGTAAGCAAGAACACAATAACAAATACTTTTGAGATTCACTAACATTACATGTTACAGTCCAAAATGTTAGGATGAGAAACAGGAAAATCACTATTTTGACAGTTCAAATATAGTCAAGAACCAGAGATGTAGCTCAGTGGTAGAGACAAGACACTGAATTTAATCCTCAGCATGATAACTTATTTATTTTAAAAGGTCAAATAAAAAAGCCCCAAAGGAAGTATATAAAGAAAGGAAAATTTCTCCAACAACTGATGGCAGAATACCTAACAAAGGTCTATCACTCCCTCAGTAGTACAACTGCTCTACATCCATCAATTACTCAGACATGTCAATTTTACTTCCAAAATTTCAACTCTATGCCTACCAAATTGTTCCCTTTATCACTGCATCATTTTAAGAGATTTATAATAGCCTCTAATCAATCTCTTAGCTTTGGGACCATTACCTTCCAACCAATACTCATTGGCAACCAAGTGATCTTTCCATTCACATCACTGTATTTTATAATTAGGAAGAATCTATAACCTTTCAATAAAATATTAAGAAAAGTAAAACTGTATTCATTTGTATGCAAGTAGCATTATTCTCATAATCAAACTCAACTATGTTAAAAAACTTACATCATAAAACAGTTTTCTATCAGCAGCCAGTCGTTTAGATGCCAGTGTCTTAGTAACATGATAGAAAGTAAGCAATGCTCTGTGCTGTCGAAGATCATCTTGGACTTTAACAGACTCTATAAGAGTGGGAATCAGTTCAGGCCATTGTCGAGGACAATCCAATCTGGCAACTTTTGCAATCAGCACTGCAATCTGAGTTGCAATCTACAAGGGAAAAGTAATCATCATCAAGAAATAAACATGAAACCCAGGCAATGAATAAGAATGTATTCATAGTTTTAAAACTACCTTTTTGTTTATTTACTGGTTTGATTTTTTGTGGTGCTGAGGATTGAACCCAAGGCCTTGTGCATGCAAGGCAGGAACTCTACCAACTGAGCTATATCTCCAGCCCCCAAAACTACCTTTTTGATTTATCATACGTTTGACAAAAATGATTAAAATTTCACTAAAAAACTAAGACAGTGATTCTCAAAATAGGGTACACTAGAGCCCTTTCAGGAATGTTAATTTCCCTTTCCTAAATTATATATCAGTAAAAAGTTAGGTTTTCTTCATATGTTTACCAAATAACATATCACAACATGTGAAGAATAAAGAAGAAGATATAAAATTCTGGAAGTCTTCTTTTTAAATAGCCAGACACTAAAGACATATGCAAAAATTCTTAACAATGTCATTCTTCAACCTGAATTATTTTGTAAACAGCTACAATAGTTCATTTCACAAAATGCTTCTTACGCCAACAAGTACAGTTTTAAAATTTTTAGGTTAACTAAGAAATATTTTTAAATTTCTCAGTTTTAGTTTATAATCCTGTAAATATCAATAGACATAATCCTTTAAGGTCTTCAATTTTAGCAGAATAAAGGTTCTATAAAAACGAATTTTAAGAACCACTAACCTAAGAATGGAAATAACATCAAATATCGAGTATTTAAATAACAATATCTGTATAGATCAGTGCTTCCTAAATACTGATTGATAGAATGCATAGGGAATGATTTATTTCTTAATCACCCAAACCCCAAACCAATCAATTCCTGCCCTAGTGAGAACAACTCCATTCTCCATTCTCTCTCAGCTTCTTTTCAAGGAATTGTAAAACTGAGAGTTGAGATCGCTTATAAAGGTGAATATAAAACTAAACCAGAGGGTTGGGGTTGTAGTACAGAGGTAGAGCGTTTGCCTAGCATGTGTGAGGCACTGGATTCAATCCTCAGCACCACATAAAAATAATAAATAAAAATAAAGGTCTATCAACAATTAAAAAAAATAAAAATAAAAAAACTAAAGCAGGGGCTGGGGTTGTGGCTCAGAGCTACAGTGCTCGTCTAGCATGTGTGAGGCCCTGGGTTCAATCCTCAGCACCACATAAAAATATGTATAAATAAAGGTATTGTGTCCAACTATAACTAAAAAATAAAATATTTTGAAAAATCAGAAATATTGCCAAATACAGTATGCCCTGTCTCAAAATAAAAAATAAAAAGGGCTGGGGGCTGGGCATGGTGGCACATGCCTGTAATCCCAGAGGCTTGGGAAGCTGAGGCAGAAGCATCATGAGTTCAAGATCTGCCTCAGCCTCTTCACAAGTGGTGCTCAGAAAACTGGAAATCCATATGCAGCAAAATGAAATTAAACCCCTATCCCTCACCATACACAAAACTCAACTCAAAGTGGATCAAAGACCTAGGAATCAAACAAACAAGAGACCCTGTACCTAACAAAAGATAAAGCAGGCCCAAATCTTCATCATGTCAGATTAGGCCCTGACTTCCTTAACAAGACTCCTAAAGCGCAAGAAATAAAAGCAAGAATAATAAATGAGGACTAGGGCTATAACTCAGTGTCAGAGCACTGACCTAGCATGCATGTGTGAGACACTGGGTTGGATCCTCAGAACCACATAAAAATAAACAAATAAAATAAAGGTATGCTGGTCATCTACAACTTCAAAAAAAATTTGTTTTAAAAAGAACAACAAATAAATGGGATGGATTCAAACTAAAAAGCTTCTTCTCAGCAAAAGAAACAATCACTGAGGTGAAGAGAGTCTACAGATGGGAGCAAATTTTTATCACACACACACACATCAGATACAGTACTAATGCTGAGGATATATAAAGAACTCAAAAAACTTGACAAAAAAATAACCCAATCAATAAATGAGCTAAGAAACTGAACAGACACTTCTCAGAAGAATATATACAATCAATCAACAAATACATAAAAAAAGTTCAACATCTCTAGTAATTAGAGAAATGCAAATGAAAACTACTCTAAGATTTCATCTCACTCCAGTGAGAATGGTAGTATCAAGAATACAAGCAACAATAAGTGTTGGCGAGGATGTCGGGGAAAAGGCACACTCATACATTACTGGTGGGACGACAAACTGGTGCAACCACTCCAGAAAGCAGAAAGGAGATTCCTTGGAAAACTGAGAATGGAACCACCATTTGACCCAGTTATTCTGGTCCTCAGCATATACGCAAAGGACTTAAAAACAGCATACTACAGAGACAAAGCCACATCAATGTTTATAGCAGCTCAATTCACAATAGCTAAACTGTAAAACCAACATAGATGTCCTTCAGAAGATGAATGGATAAAGAAACTGTGGTATATATACACAATGGAATATTACTCAGCCTTACAAGAGAATAAAATTATGGCATTTGTAGGCAAATGGATGAAGTTAGAGACTATCATAATAAGTGAAGTAAGTCAATTCCAAAAAACCAAAGGCCGAATATTTTCTCTGATAAGTGGATGCTGATCCATAACAGGAGAGGGGCATGGGATGAATGGAGAAACTTTAGATTGAGAAAGGGGAGGGAGAGAAATAGAGAAGGTATGGGGGTAGGAAAGATGGTAGAATGAGATGGACACCATTACCCTAGGTACATGTATGATTGCACTAATAGTGTGACTCTACTTCGTGTTCAATCAGAGAAATAAAAAACTGTGCTCCATTTGTGTACAACAAATTGAAGTACATTCTGCTGTCATACATAACTAATTACAGCAAATAAAAAAGAAAAGAACACTTTTTGATATTCATATTTTCTGCTATATAACAAAAACAAATTATAGTCATATGCTGCATAATGACATTTCAGTCAGGGATGTACCAGATATATGACATTGGCCTTATAAGATTAAAATGGAACTGAAAAATTCCCTATGGCCAATGTCATCATCATTATTTGTGTTTGTGTAAATTTACTATGCAGCTGGGCATATAAAGGTATACCATATCATAATTATGCTGCACATACATAATGCTTGATGATGATCACAAATGAATGTTATTCACTTATGTATTAACCGATAAAAAAAAAAAAAAAAGACCTGCCTCAGCAACTTAGAGAGGCCCTAAGCAACTCAGTGAGACCCTGTCTCTAAACAAAATACAAACAAGGGTTGGGTATGTGGCTCAGTGGTTAAGCACCCCTGGGTTCAATCCTCAGTATCCCACCCCCCCACCCCCCCATCCCTCCACCCCACCCCCCTGCAAAAAAAAAGGTGTAAGCTCAGGGTTTAGCTCAATAGTAGAATACCCCTGGGTTCCGTCCCCAATTCCCAGAATTCAGGGGGAAAAAAAATCTATATAGACAGACAGATATGTAGGAAATCAAGTATATATATATTACCTTGAAAAATTTTAAAAACTGTTATACCTTTAAGCAAAAATTTATTCTTAGAAGAAAACTTCATTGAAATGGGAAAAAAACTACTTAATTGCTACAGAGCAGTGAGAACTGAAAATATGATGGATTCAGGAAATAAAGACAAAAAGTTGAAGTCATCTTATAATTTAAAAAGAAAAAGTAGGAAAAGGGTAGAAACTGTAAGTCATTAAATTAATTTCTGGAGTCAAATACTTTCATGCCTTAGGTATGTAACATATTTTATCTGTTCATTTTCTTGTTTAAAAATTAATTTCTATGCAATAAGACAATTACTTAAAGATTTGCTTTAAATACTAGCTCAAAACCTGAAAGTTGAAAATTATCAAGTATACATTTTAATGACTTCCAAGTTTTAAATCATTAATAGCCAAATCTAACCAAAATTCTTAACAGCTATCACTGGATTTCAAAATTTAAAATTTAGCAAATGAGTTGTCTATAAACCACCACAAAGGAAAATAATGACATACAATTTTATGTTTAGTGAGAGATAAAAATATTAGCATGGAAAATAAGCAAATATAAAAGGGAAACAATATTTAGAATTAATTTGTCTCACTAACCTGGTTTATTGGTTCATTGAAGTTGGTGATGAGCCCTGCACGCAAAGTAGATTTTTCCTCTTCTGAGAGAGCACTATTAAAAAAATAAAAACATTATGCAAGAGAATGACACCTAATAATGAATACAGATAAGCACTACTATGAATTTTTACAATACAAAGCCTTTTAAATATGTTATTCTGATTCTTTTGGTAAATAAATAAAATTATTTCCATTAGTTAAATATTGGCACATTAAATGAGAAACAAAATTCCCTCATAAATGAATTAACAGGAAGCACAACACAGTAAGCATTAAAAAATAAGGCAAATCCAGGGTAATTAATACAATATTTTGATGTTCACTTTTACTAGTGTTGGCTACCAAAAAAAAAAAAAAGTTGGATAAATAAATCTATACTAGTAAATATTAGGCTTCTACTGGCTTTTATAAATCTGAGTTGAAGTTATTCTATGGGGAAAGAGACAGAATCAGAATACTTGGGATATTCGAAATTAACTAGTTTAAAACTTTCATTTTACATCTATAGAAAGGATAAACATAATACTAACAATTGCCTCCATATTGTTTCCAGGAAAACTAGAAAGTTGAAGGATATACAAGGAGAAAAGTTATTGTAAAAGATCTTACACATGGTGAGATTTGAACTGAATGAACACATTGTTAATTTTGAAATTAATTTTAAAGACTTCATTTTAAGGTTTTTCTTTTTTATTCTATCAATGACAGAGTAGCTGGCATGAGACAAATCATCTCAATAAGTTCAACTATAAACATATTCAAATAAACAAAAAAAGTAAAAGGCATCTATTGTGAGCTAAATTGTGTCTCCACAAAAATGAAATGCTCAAGTCCAAACCCCAGGTACCTGGGACTGTGACTTTATCTGGAAATACTGTAGAGTCTCAACATATGTAATAACATTCAGATGAGGCCATACTGGATTTAGGTGGGTACTGGGGACTGAACTCAGGGCCTTTAAACACGCAAAGAAAACACTCTTACCATTGAGCTACATTCCCAGCACTTTTTAAAATTTTATTTTGAGACAGGGTCTCCCTATGTTGTCCGAGCAGGCCTTGAACTTTAGATCCTTTACCTCTGCTTTCAGAGTAGCTGGGACTACAGAATTGCACCACCAAGCCTGGTTCTTGTGTCTCATAAAGGGAAAATATGAACAATGAGAAACATGAGATCCAAGAAATAAGGCCATGTGACATCTGAGGACAGGATTAGTGATGCAGCAATAAACGCAGAAACAAGTAAGATTGTTTGCCCCCGCTGTAGCTAGAAAGAAACCAAAAAAATTCTTCCCTAATTTCTTCAAAGAGAGCAAAAACTTTGATTTTAGACTTTTAGCCACCTGAACTGTGAGATAATAATTTCTGTTGTCTTAAACCACCCAGTTTGTGGGAATTTATTAGGGCAGCTTGAGAAAACTAATGTAACTACTAAAAGCAATCTAGGAAGCTAAGATCAGGAGACTTAGATCTCAGAGAGAAAGGAATGAACTGAGATGGGCCACTGCATTTGCTCCTTATGTACCCACAAAAAATGAAGCTGAAAGCAGCAGCTAGACACTGAAGAGCTAAAGAGAGATTTCAGCAGGCCTTGAAGTGTAAAGCAACAAAAACTCAGCTCATGGCCCACCATGATGGCAGTATCTGGTAAACATGCAAGGCTTGCTGCTGAAACCCCAGAAAGGATGTAACCTGGGATTAAGAGAATTGAAAAACTTTCCAATTTTAACTATGCTACATTCAGCATTCAACTAAAACTTACCAGGCATACCAACATACAGAAAAAAGATGCTTAGATCCAAAACACAAATAGAAACAGGAGCACAAACATTATAATTAACAAAATCACATTCTAATTATGAATAAGTTCAAGAAAGTAGGCCAAATATGGAGAATTTCACTAGACAACTAGAATTTACTTTTTTCTAAATATTAAAAAGAAATCCTAGAACTAATAAGCATAATAACTGCAATAAATTTAATAACTAGAAGGTTAGTGGGAAATATCAAGATTAAAGCATGATAAGAAAAAAAGCACTTCTGCTTCTACGCACCCATTGAAAGCAGATGTGCCCTTAAAAAATACTAGACAGTTCTTCAAGCAGAAAACAAATGGAGCCAGATGGAAGCTAAGCACAGTAACACTAAAAAGAATTAAAATGTTATAAAGGTAAATTTAAATGAATACTGTTGATAAAATAACATTTTATGGAGTTTAAAATATATGGCGAATTAAAGTACTAAACAAGAGTATTAATGATTATGAAGTTTTAAAAGGGGTTAAAAGTATTATTTTAACATTCTTGCATTATCTAAAAAAAGTAAAGTACTAACATAAGGACAGTCTCTAATAAATCATGGATACATGTTATCTGTAGGAAAATCACTTGAGAAATGAAAGTGTGCTCAACAAGCTTTTAAAGAGAGGAACTAATATAAGTTTCTTGAATAATCCAAAGAAAGGCAAGAAAGAAAGAAAAAAAAGCAAAGATCAGAGATAAACAAGAAACAAAGGGTGGATTTAAACCAAACTATATCAGTATTTATATTAAATGTAAACAAATGTAATACTAAAACTAAAACATTTATTATACCAGATACAAAACAAAAGCCAACTTATTTACTACTTGTAAGATACACATTTTAAACAAAACAACAACAAAATAACATTGAAAGAAAAAGGCAAAAGAGGGTATAACATGCAAATACTAACCACAAGATGGCTGGTGTGGCTCTATTAATGTCAGACAAACTAGACGTTAAGTCAAAACTTATTACTAGAGATAAAGAAAAAAATTTCATAATTATGACAAGGTCAATTCAATAGAAATCTGACAACCCTGAATTTATATGATCCTAAGCGCCTCAAATATACAGAAAGCAAAATTACAAGAAAAAGAATACGCAAGTGGATAATCATATTTAAATATTAACACATCTCAATAACCGAAAGAAAAAAGAAGCTGAAAATCAAAGAAACACAGACCAGTTGAATAGCACAATTCACAAATTCAAGCTGAGACACATAAAATAGTAAAATCCACAAATACACACATACATTCAAGTACATATGTACCAAAATACCACATGCTCGATCACAAAACAACACAGCACATTTTAAATAATGAAAACAGTAACCAAAAAAGAACTAAAAGGTCTTTTGGAAACAAGGCACAAGGCAACATACTTCTAATTAACCTATACATCTTAAAATAAACCACAGAAGATATTTTTAAAATATTTTTAACCTAGGGCTGGGACTGTAGCTCAGTGATACTGCATGTGCTTGGCATGCAAAATGCCCTGGGTTCAATCCCCAACACACACACACACACACACACACACACACACACACACGGCTGAACTAAAAGTTACAATTATAAGAAGAGTCTTAAAGCTCTAAAATGTGTATACAGATTGAACATCTCGTATCTGAAATGCCTGAAACAAGAACTCTTTCAGATTTACGATTTTGAGATACTGAGATATTTGTATACACATAATATAAGTTATCTTGGAGATGGGACCCGAGTCTAACATGATAGTTATTTATGTTCCATATATACCTCACACATACAGTGTGAAGGTAATTTTATACAATATTTCTTTCTTAGTGTGCCCAGGTTTTGAGTGAGACCCACCACTACAGAGATCAGGTATAAAATTTTCCACATTAAGGTATCATGTTGGCATTCAAAAAGTTTCAGGTTTTATAACACTTCGGATTTCCTAATAAGGGACATGCAACATAAGAAAAAAAGAAAATGTTTCTAAAGGACACGCAACCTTTAGAAAAACAAAATCAATTATCTAATATTCCACCTTGAAGATGCTAGAAAAAGAACAGCAAATTAAATCCAAAAGTAAAAGAAATTACATTAAGTCTTAATAAGAGACAAAAACATCAACTGGACAAATTAGAGAATCCAAACCAGTACCACACAAAGTGCCTAATGAATAATAATAGTACTACTGTAAACCAATAGTAAAAGAATACATGGTACAGCCCCTATTTCAAACATGCATCTTGTACAAAAATCAATTCCAGAAATATCATAGAGCAAAATGAGTAAAGTAAACCAAGTGTACCAGAAGATACAGTATTTTCTTAATCGTTGGTTGAGCAAAATGTCATAAATAGGTCACAAACTAATTATAAAAGATAGGTAGCTACACTGACTCAAAATCAAAATTAAGAACAAAGGTGTTAAAGACAACAAAACTACCCCCAGCAAAAATAAACAAAGTCACCATTAAGATAATGAAAAAGCAAGTGATAAAAGTGGAAAAAGATATTTTCAATAGGTATATATGATAAAGCAGTAACACCTAAGAGTCCCACAAATCAAAAAAAACCCCAAATTTTTAAAATGTGCATATCACAGACCCTTCACAAAAGATGATAACATCCAAACAATAAATACACAAAAAAGGTTCACCAGGAAAATGAAAACTAAAATTCCCAAGCCTACCAGAATGATAAAAATGAAAGTTCAGATCAAATGTTGATGAGAATGTGGAATGAGCACCAAAACTCATGTGCTACTAACCGGATTGCAAATTGGCACAACCAGTTTGGAAAACCAAATGACAGTACCTGCAAAAGCTGAATATACATCTGACCATGAAAGCAATAAAATGTACATATGTGCAATAGTTTTTTGATTGCTAGTAGTGTTCTAGCTAGTTTCAACTGGTAGCCATTGATGTGTTCCATTACAAACATTCTAACTGCACTCTTCATTTGTGTACCTTTAAGTATGTTATATGAAAGTATATAACATACTTACGAAAGTATAAGAATTCTTTAAAATAACAAGAGTGACTTGCTCAAGATTAGTAAAGAAATGAGAAAGCAAGATTAAGGTAAACATTTAGGAGGCCAATGCAGACCTGTTTTCCCATTAGAAATGACTATTTTAATCATCTTATATCCATGCTGTATTTTCCAACTTTAATAGCTCCCTCTTATCAAACCCCTGAGCTGATGTTTTCTCCTATAATGTTTAGCTTCAAGATGAAATTCAAGTTTTCTTCTATGCCTAGGAACCAGGTTAATCAGTTTTCTTAATTCTAAGTAAAATAAGAGAATATAATGATCAGCTATCAAAAATAGAGACCATGCAAAAAGTACATGGATAGTAAAGAAACAGGAAATCAATGATTAACATGGAAAAAACTCATGTCTTTATGTGTACATAATTATTTACTTTTCACCTTAAATTGTATGTACTCATTAGATGAATTTAGGTTGTATCTCATATAGAAATTATAGAGTATATAATTAACTAGGATTCAGTTAAATCTCATTGTGTATAGTAGAAATATATAAGCTTAAGTTACTTCTCATTCTGTAAAAATAATCGTCAAAAGTAAGAACTTACATAGGATGAAACTAAGATAAGAACACAAACAAGCATATTTGTAAGTACCTTAATTTTAAGGTTCAATTACTAATCTGCCATCTTTGCCCCCTTTCTAAGTATATTCATCTCCTTTCTGGCTTTTATCTCAATACACACTAAAAGACAGCCTGGAGGGGCTGAGACTGTGTCTCACTGGTAGCGCACTTGCCTGGCATGTGTGAGGCACTGGTTTCGATTTTCAGCACTGCATAATTAATTAATTAATTAATTAATTAATTAATTAATAAAGGTCTATCAACAACTAAAAAAAAAAAACAGCAGCAAAAAGATAGCCTGGAATTTAAATACTCAATACTACATGATTTCTCCCTTAACTTTTTAAATTTAAACTAAATTAAGGGCTGGGGATGTAACTCAATGGTAAATCATGGGATTAGCAGGCATAAGGCCCTGGGTTTGATCCCCAGCACCATAAAAATTTTTAAAAAAATAAATAAACAAACAGGTGCAGTGGTGCATGCCTACAATCCCAGCAGTTCAGGAGACTGAGGCAGGAGATGGCATTCTGAGTTCAAAACCAGCCTCAGCAACTTAGCAAGACTTTATTTTGAAAATAAAAAATTTAAAAAGGACAGGGATGTAACTTAGTGGCTAAGCACCCCTAGGTTCAATCCCTGGTACCGTTGATTAATTAATTAATTTAAAAGCAACTTCAACGGGAGGTGCTGTTCAGTAGTATAGAGCATGCTTAGCAAATGTATAATCTGACGTATTTAATCATAATTTATTCTTTCTTTGACATGGTTATTGATAAGTATATTGTTCATAAAACCAGTAAAACAAAATTAATTTTAAAATTTAAATGGACAAGCAGTAGTAATGTAGGTGCTGCTAAAACATTTCCTATAACCCAATAATGCTTCTCAACACTACATCATTTCTCACAAAACTATGAGTCAATTCTAAAATAAGATGAAAAGTATTTTCTTCATACTATAGTATCCTAATTGCAGCCTGAAAATATTCTGGTTGTTTCCAATATTATTCAAGGGCATGTTTTAAATGCACTCTGAAGATCTCAGATAAGCTTTTACTATTTTTTAAGGTTTAAGAATTTACAGAGCTATAGTGCCATCTACTGGAAAACAAAGATCACATTATTTCTTTAGCAAAGTTCATTATTTTCATATTCATTTATATTATATATGTTTATATATAAGTTGTAGATGAACACAATATCTTTATTTGTCTGTTTATTTATTTATTTATTTTTTAATGTGATGTTGAGGATGAAACCCAGGGCCTCACATATGAAAGGCACATACTCTACTACTGAGCTACAATTCCAGCCCCAAGTTCATTATTTTCTATCAAATAAATTCCAAGGCTATGTCTATCTTGCCTTTCCATCAATTATATAACATACAATTAAGTATTAAGAGAAATCTGGGGCTGGGAATATAAGTCAGTGATAGAACACTGGCTAGCATGCTTGAGACCTTGGGTTCAATCCTTAGTAACACAAATAAAAGAAAAAAATAAGGGAGACACAAATCTGTTCATTTAACCACCTACATACCAGTTACAATTGAGTCTGAGATTAAAAATGCATGTATGTTTTTTTAAAAAAATGTATCTACCAAAGAGGCAAGAATAATATTCAGGAATTACTATTCAGATGGTTCAGAAATGAGTTGGGTTTGTCTTCTCAATAGCATTTTTTAAAATCTTAATATTAAGAATCTTTAAAAGAGAGACACAGACAGTCAGACAGACAGACAGACACACACACACATACACACACACACACACACACACACACACACACACACACACACACGCTCACAGAGGAATAAAACCCAGGGAGAAAAATAACATTATGGCTGTTGAATGGTAATTAACTATGAAGAATACTGTTCTTCAATAGTTAACATACTTTTTTTTAGATTTTATTTTTTAATATCAAATGTTTTGCAGGATTCCATGTCATCTTTGTGCAGAGACCATACTAATCTTTTTTGTACTGTTCTAATTTTAGTGTATGTGCTGCCAAAGCAAGCACTAACACATTCTTTTACATAAACAGATTCTTTTAACTTCTTGCATCTGGAAAGCATTACACTGAGGATTGATGGAACTTACTGAGGGGCTACACGTCTCCAGTAACGATCAATTCCATGTTTAAAATATAGCACAGCAAGCCACCTTACATTTATATCCAGAGAGTGGTTGGTGAAAATGTTCTGTAAATAAAAAATAGTATTAGAATGAACATGTAATAACATAAAATTATAATCAATATGCCCCAAATAAAACATTGGCATTTTTAAAATTGAATATATAAGTTTTATCACTACATATATTATATTGATATTTTCTAAATATACATCGTTCCATGATTCATATAAGCAAGCATACCTGCTCAGTAGCAGGTATTTACTGTTTAAGCTGAATAAAGACATGGAAAATTCATTATACTATTCTACTTTTACAAGTATTTGAAAATTTCTCTAATGAAAAATTAAACTGAGAAACTAGCAAACCTAATTTTATTTCAAATAACTATCCTAACTACACACACACACACACACCCCTGAAATAATTACCTCCTAAATAATAATAATTTTTTTAAAAAGTAGACCCACCATAGCAGAGATTCAAAGATCCGAAGGAATCAAAGCCTCTGGGTAGTTAACAGATGCTATAAAATAAGTAATCTATTTCATATTATCATGCTCCTTATCAAAACATGCAACCAGTGTGGTGGCACACACCAATAATCCCAGTGATTTGAGAAACTGAGGTAGGGTTACAAATTAAAGGCCAGCCTCAGCAATTTAGCTAGTCCCTAAGCAGCTTAATGAGAGCCTGTCTCCAAATAAAATATAAAGAGGGCTGGGGATTAACTCAATGATAGAGTTCTCTGGGTTCAAGCCTCAGTTCCAGGTATTATGGAGAAGCACCAGTCATGCTTACAAATAGAGAGCAGAACATTTTATGTGACATAAAGCCAGACATGATGTGAATCACTTTTCAAAATTAGCCATTACTCAAAAGATTTATTCACTGTGTTAATCCTAATCCTAATCCACAGTCCTTGTTTTACACAGTAAATGGAGACCCTAAAAATAACAATGCAAACTAAACCACAAAACATGATCTTAATATTAATAATCAAAGGAAAATTTTCAAGGTTCAATGACCTTTAAAAATGTTAGTCAAAACATTAAGACAACTTTTACTGTTAGTTCTATATGTACAGAGAAATGTAAGAATGCAAAACTTACACAAATACTATATTTTAAAACATTACAAGTATTGAAAATTTAATGTTTAATTTCTTTGGAAAAAAACTTATCTGGAATAGTTGGTACATACAATAACTGAAGGAATGTGTTTAAGTACGTAGTAAACATTGACTGAAACTGTACTACACTCAGATCAAAAACAACTCAAATTCCCAGTGATGACCTCTTAAATACAACCTTGTGTGGGAAAACCCCAAAGCCAAATATAATTATGTGGAAGTATATTCTTTGATATGAAAAAAATCCATATGTTAAGTATTAAAAACAGACATGTATGTTATAATTATCTTTTTAGAGAACATGTCTGTACGTTTAAAAACAACTTACAAGGATAATTATATATTTCCCATTTACTCCTTAAGACCATTGACAACTGAGTCAGAGTTCCTCTTTTGGATCTCTATTGTAAAAAAAAAAAAAAAAAAAGTGATTTTTTTTGTGGGGCTGGGGATATAGCTCAATTGATAGAGTGCTTGCCTTGCATGTAGAAGGCCTTGGGTTGTAGGTTGGATCCCCGCACCACAAAAAAAAAAGAAAAGATTTTTGTTTTTCACATCAATCTCATTTAATTTTGACATTTTACTTGTCTACCTTCCATACTACTAGATTGAGTCTTGTCTTATACACCTAGAATCTACCACATGCCAGATACAATAGAAATTTTTCAAATACCTATTAAATAGATTGGTGAATGAATGGAAGTAATGTGGAAAATATTATGGAAGTTGGTGGGTCTTAATCAGCCAGTCTCAGCTACACTTGGGGAACCAAGAGACATCAAGCTGCAGGTTATGAATTCCAGTAGAAATATTCCACAAGTACTTTAAATAACTGGACTGCAACACAAACCTGAGATAAGGTATAGAAGTTTGGGAATCTACAGATTAGAATGAACAGCTAGGACAAATACAGATTTAATGTGCAAAGGAGAAAAAAAGGATTAAAAACTGTCATGTTTGTAGTTGTTAATGGACAGCATATATATATATATATTTTAAATGTGGTGCTACATTCAAACCCTGTGCTTCACACATGCTAGGCAAACACTCTGCCAGTGAGCGACAGTCCCAGCCCTATGACAGCTTTTTAAGCTATTATAATCTATTTCTTCTACAAGAAATCTAATTCCTATCCCTCTAAGAAGAAAAATTCAATGTAGTAAAAACAAAAACCAAGAAGAACTAGGCAAGCCAGGCACAGTGGCACACTCCTGTAATTCCAGTGATTCCAGAGGCTGAGGCAGGAGGATTGCAGGAGGATCCCTAGCCCCAGCAACTTAGGAAGACCCTAAGCAATTCAGTGAGATCTTATCTCTAAATAAAATACAATAGGGATTGGGGATATGGCTCAGTGGTTAAGTGCCCCTGACTTCAATGCCTGGTACCAAAAAACAGGGATTTAGGCAATTTGAACCAAAGCAAGAACCCTGTGAAGTTTTCCAGATATCCTTTTAGGCCTTTCATGGTAAACCTGAAACCTGTTAAGAATACCTGAGCAAAACTAGTGTTATTTGATAAATACTGACTATAAAAACATACATAAGTACACATAAATAAAACAACTATAAATATATATATATATATATAACCAAATAAATGTATATAAAATAGAAACTGATTCATATACATACACAGCCTATCTGCATATCTGGGATGCTTCACCATACTCAGTAGAAGCCATATACATAGTATCTTATACAAATGTCTACATACACAAATATAAATGCATACATTATTTTTAATAAATAAAAGTACCACACACCATATAAATTATCAATTTATCAATACATAAATATCCCAAAACAAATAAATATAGGAAAAAAGATTTAGATACTTAAATAAAATAAAGAAGGCATGTAGCTCAGCTGTACAGCACTTGCCTATCATGCTGACAATTCACAATTCCATCACAAAAATTGATTTATTAATAATAATTAAAATAATAAATTCCAGAACATATTTTGGCCTGAAGATGCATAAGCAAATTATAGAGCATATTCACTTAAATAAGCATATGAAAGTTAAAGATACTCAGAGATATTCTAAAGATTTACACTGTGCCCAAAATTTAAACATGCTAGGGTTATGTAAACAAGGTATTTTCTTTAGTATCTTTTAAAATCAAACCATTTTTTACCTTTTTGTTATTAAACCAAACTGCCAATTTTCATGTTATATTTAGAATAAAACTTAATTCCCCTTATCACCATAAGTATCTTCTCAAATTTAACAAACCAAATCGTTCTAGGCAAGAATTCAAAAAAATACATGTCAGTTGCTATAATTTATTCTAGTTTAAATGATATAGTAAACAATATTGCTCTAAATGTGTGACCCAGTCAAAAATACTACCTGGTAGCTTCATTGTCTTGACCAGAAACTAAATCTCAAAACATCAATCAGAATTTTTAATTTTTCAGCAGAAATGATTGGGGAAGACTGTCATCACAAAAAAAGAGTTCCACTCTGGCACTGAGAGATAATTTTGATTAATGAACCAAAAATTTTTAACTCCTTAAATTACTGTACTATGTTTCAAAACACCCAGAAAAAAAAAAAAAAAAAAAGATGTGTCAAGGAAATGAAATTTTTAGATGAGAAAATAAATGATTTTTTTATATTTTAATTTTTTTTAGTTGTTTATAGACCTTTATTATTTATTCATTTATTTATTTATTTATTTATTTATATGTGGTGCTGAGAATCAAACCCAAAGATTCACACAAGCTAGGAAAGCGCTCCGCCACTGAGCCACAACCCCAGCCCAATCATGATGTTTTAAAAGGAAATAAACTTAAGCACAGTATACCTGAACCTGAAGATGCACTATGAGTACCTGAACAACTAATAACATAAATTAATTAGGATAGAAATATAAACAAAATATGAGACTGAAATCAGGACATTAGATCAATGTGCTATAACTAAAATAACCACAGTGGTTGCTTTCTGAGAAGACATAGGAATGCACTGTACAACTATTTATACAAAATGTTTCAAAAAGTAAAATTTATATTCCATAAAGAATATAGCCAAAGCAAATTACTTCATTGCTAAAAGTTATAATCAAGTTGCAATGAAAAGGAAAGATCTCAAATGTTTGTCTATTAACAAATATTTCTTAAAGACCCTCAGTAAATTGTGTCCCAAATTAAGGTGATAATTGTAATACCTGTGACAGCTAAACATCTGTATTCATTCCATTAAACTACCAATAAACCTAGCTCTTCAATTCTTCTGCAGTGCTGAGATCAAATCCAGGGGTGCACATATACTAAGCAAATGATCTACCACTGAACCCAAATCCAGATTTTTGGAATAATGAAAATAATGATATCTCATTTTATTAAAAGTAAAAATAAACCATTTTAGAAGTACTTACCAACAACACTGAATAGAAACCTGGCTGTGTCTCCCACTGTTTCAATTGTTCCTCGGCTGGTTTTAAAACAGCAGTATCCTGACTGGTGGCCTGTGTTAAGACCTGAAGAACTACAGTACTGGCACTATTGAGATCCATGGAAACCTGGCAATAAATTAACATATGTTAGTATACATTATATGTAACAAAAACTAACAGTAACATAAATGGAGAAAAAAAGTTTTCATGTTCTGAAACACTCCTTCATTTTAATCATTCACTAACTCCATGCTTCTTATTGACTTCTACTTTTCTATGTGCCACCCACATTCTTACCTAAAAATTAATTCAAATCACTAACTTAAAATCAATTTATTTCTAAATGCAACTGCCGTTTACTGTGCCATATAAATAAAAGATACGAGCATTTTAGGGACAGGGGTGGGGAACAAATACAAAACACGAAATTCCTAAATTCTGGTTAAATACCATTGCCTGTTTAAGACTCTAACCAAATAACTTAAAGCCTGAAAGTCATTAACCCAAAACAAATTACTTCCTTTTTATTAAGTTACTAAATTATAGTAAAACAGAAAAGTTCCAAATATTGATTAAATAAAAAATAGACCCTAAATATTACAACTTCTAAGGAAAATTAACCACAATAAAGTCTATGTAAGTAAAGGAGGGATAATCCAAAACAAAAAATTTCTTTGAACAAAAAAGTACTGGGGGGGGGGGATGGCAGGCGGCGCCTGGGGTTGTGGCTCAGCAGTAGAAAGCTCGCCTAGCATGTGGGGGCCCTGGGTTCGAGCCTCAGCACCACATAAATACAAAATATGTGTCCACTTAAAAGTAAAACATAAATATTAAAAAACAAAATAATAAAATAAAGGTATTGTGTCCAACTATAACTAAAAAAATAAATATTAAAAAAAAAAGTACTTCACAGGCTGGAGCTGGAGCTCAGTGGCAGAGTGCTTGCCTAGCATGCATGAGGCACTGGGTTTGATCCTTAGCACCACATAAAAATAAACAAATAAATAAAGGCATTCTGTCCATCTACAACTTTAAAAAATGTTTTTTAAAAAGTACTTCACACTGAACCACATGGTAGCTAATTAAGTGACTTATTTATTCAGTAAGAATGTTGAAAACTTGCTGTATGACAGCAGCTCAGGAGGCTGAAGTAGGAGAATTCCAAGTTTGAGGCCAGCCTCAGCAACTTATCGACCCCGTTTCAAATTTAAAAAAATTAAAAGGGCAGGGATATGGCTTAGTGATAAAGCAACCCTAGGTTAAATCTTTAGTACTAAAAATTAAAAAAAAAAAACCACCCACTGCGATTAAACATGTTCTTTAGACTGAGTATTCAGAGAAGGCTTCTCTAAGTGACCTTTATGAAACATGAATGATAAAGAGAGATCCTGCCATGAAAAGATCTGAAAGCAGTACCCCAGGACAGGGAAAACAACAAACAAAAAAAGCCCAGGCCTTACGATTTAGAAACAAACTCGATTTAGAAACAAACATGGAGAGGTCAGTATGACTGACAGCAAGAAGAGGAAAATGCAACACAATGAGTAGGAGAAGTAGGCAAAAAGAGATCATATAGGACCTTAATAAGGCAAAATATGTATTTTTCAATATAAGTGCAAAAAAAGCATAGGATAGAAAAGAATATATGAACGTAATGATATGAATAAATGAATAAAAGAAAGGCTCTACCAGAACTCATTCCTATCCTACCCCCACCAAAATATAGAAAATAAAGAAAAGAGCCATGGTTCTATTTTGGGCTACTACTTGAAAAATCACTAATACCAACTCCTAAATTTCCCCCATGAGCAAAGACTGTGCAGAAATCATACAAACTCTTAATCTCTCCGAAACTTCAGAAAAGTAATTCCTAAGCCTATATAATATTATCTTTATTGTCCACATATCTCACTATTTACCTCTTATAATAAAAGCTGCTAGAATTTCCCATCCCTACCTACCTCCAGCATTTTGCCCTACCTTGGTCCTATCCAAAATACAACACTGTTTCCCTCTCCCCTTCTCTGATCCTTGCTTCTAAGAAGACCCCATACAGTCTGAAAGGAAGAAGAGCTCAGTTCACACATTTTTGGAGCACCAATTTTTCCCCCTTTTAATATCAGGGATTATGCTCAACACTGAACCACATCCATAGCACCCCTCTTTTTATATATTTTATTTAGAGACAGAGGTTCTCACTGAGTTATGTAGGGGCCTCCTAAGTTGCTGAGGCTGGCTCTGAACTCACAATCCTCCTGCCTCAGCCTCCCAAGCCACTGAGAATACAGACATGTGCCACTGTGCCTAGCATGGAACACAATTTTGTGGCAGGCAATGCAATAGTTTTTTTGGATGACAAGTCCCTGTTCTCTAGCAATAGTCTATAGAACATTGAAGTCTGAGGCAAAAGGAAGTATTCTTATTATTAAAACAAACTGTAATGAATAATTTCCAGCATACCAGTTATAACCCAGAGTATATTCCCCCACAGAAATAAAGAGTATAAATCCAAAGTTCAAGGTTTTACAAATGTGTCTGTATAATGTAAACATTTTCATTAAAAGAAATGAATAAACAAGAGACAATTCAGCACTTCTGCCTTCTACCCAGAAAGACTTCTCAAGCCTGCAGTAACTATAATTTCAGTCATAGCAATTTTCTTCAGACTGCATTATCTGTGTTTATCCTTAGTTACTATAAAATGCAGTTAAGTGAGCTGACTGAGAAAAAGAAAGGTAAGATTACAGTAAATGTTTAAGAAAAAAAGAATTTCAAAATCCTGAGAATTCCAATAGTAAAATAACTTATTTGGCATGGATCAATAATAATGGATGCTAAAATCATTAAGAACAGTTGTTGGGGAACAGAATGTTTCCAGTGTGTCCAAGTATATCAAATATTACTTTCCAAATGCAGTGAAGAAACAAACTTTAGAATGAAAGAGTCCACCAGTCACCATCTAAACCAGGAGAGCAAACTTGGTATCAATAGTAGCAATACAACTGACCTTAATGCCTTTTTTTTTTTTTTTGAGTAGAATTTATTCAAGAATAAAAAGAGAACTCTCAAAGGGCAAGAGGAGATCTGGTAACAGGTTCCTCCCTTAATGTGCCTCTTGATATAATGTAGTAATTCTACAAACTCAACTCTGAAACACCAAAAATGCTCAATCTTATATAATCAATACTCCTGACCCAACTTGTACTTTGAATGAAACAGAGAAAGAACTCTTCTTGGAACATGAGGAGTTTCACAGACACTATCCATAGCAAAACGAAACAAAACCAAACCTAGCTGTAAAATTATAGAAACCAAAGTCTCTGGAAAGTGTCACACAGCATACAGCAAATAGAGAAACATCAATGCAAGAAATATTACTAAGCCTTAGTAAGAATACCATGAATCTGTGGCATTTGAGCCATGAACCAAGTTCTGCTCCAATGAGACAGAAGCTCTACACAGTCAGAGGTGACCAACACAGACAGGGCTCTCTCACCCCTCCAGCTACTAGCCTAGAACTACAGTTTCTCCACAGAAGGGGCTGTCAGACAGCATTTCTCATTCAACCATTGTTACAGTAGCTCTCTGAATATCAAGCAAGCAAAGCTAGAGATCTGGGACTCTCTTCTTCACTCAGACACCATGCCTGGGACAGAAAGTGCCAAAGGGTAACAAACCAAGAACAATGGGTCTCTCCATTTTGCCCACACCAGCATACTCAAAGGGCAGCTGAAGACCTAAGCTGTACCATTTTCAATAATGAATAGAAGATGAACAAGAAAATAAAAGTTTTAATGTTTTACTCCGACTAACACTAACAGACATTTATAGAACACTCCACACAGTAGCATTATGCATACGACTATTCTTCTGGAACATTGTCCAGGACAGACCATGTGCTAGGATGTTTAACAAGACTCAATAAATTTAAAAGGTCTGAAATTAGTAACAGAAAAAAGTGAGAAATTCACAAATATATAGAAATGAAACAACACACTCCTATATAACCAACAGATCAAAGAAATCACAGAGATGCGAGAAAATACTTTGCAATATATGAAAATGGAATCAATGTAAAAAAAAAAATAGAGGTTTAGTTGAAGCTGTGCTTAGAGGGAATTTGACTATAGATGCCTATAATAAAACAGAAGAAAGCCCTGGATTCCAACCTAGCCCTAGAGAGAGACAGAGAGACCTTATTGTGGACTACATGTTTGTGAACTCTTCCTCAGTTTATATGTTGAAATCTAATCCAGGCTGGGTACATGCCTGCAATACCAGTGGCCCAGGAGGCTGAAGTATGAGGATTGCAAGTTCAAAGCCAGCCTCAGCAACTTAGTGAGACCCTAATAAGCAACTTAGCTAGACTCTATCTCAAAATAAAAAGGACTAGGGATGGGACTCAGTGGTTAAATGGCCCTGGGTTCAATCCCCAGTTACAAAAAAAAACAGAAAAAGAAAACATTATGTTAAGTAGAAGTCAGTCACACACAAAAAAGTGTGCATATTTATATGAAATATGCAGAACAGGTAAATTCACTTTCCTATAAAAAGTAGGAAAGTGGTTGCCTATGGCTGAGGAAAATGTGGAATGACTGCTAATAGAAAAAGATTTCTATATAATTAAGTTCAACACCAACCTTGGCAACTTAGTAAGGCCCTCAGCAACTTAGCAAGACCCTGTCTCAAAATTAAAAAAAAAAAAAAAAATTTAAACAAGACTGGGTACTGAGTTCAATGGAAAAGAAACCCTGGGTTCAATTCCCTATACAAAAAAAAAAAAAAAAAACAGAAAGAAAGAAAATATTTAAAAATTGACTGTAATGATACCTGCACAATTCTGAATATACTAAAAGCCACTGAATTGTATACTTTCAATGGGTAAATAATATAGTCTATGAATTATACCTCCATAAAACTATTGTAATGAGCTCTGAGTACATAAATATCTGTTACAGAGTCTGTAAACAAGTCAGGATGGCGCCTGGCATTTTGCCAGGGGGAGTGGTTTGTGAGGTGGCACTAGCGAGCCATTAAGTGTGGAGATTTCTTATTGGTTGACTGCTGTATCTAGTTTATGTTAATTAAGATAAGCTGAGTGGGGCTGGGGATGTGGCTCAAGCGGT